CCATAAGAGTTCATAGTGAATTTCCTGGAGGAGGTTCATAACTGGAACTATGAACATAGAAAATGAACTCGGTAAAGCTATGTGAAATTGTGTGTGGAATTGCATGAGTGTGTGTGTGTGTGTCTGTGTGTTTATGCATGTGCATATGTGTTTAAAGTAGCATTTATAACTATCGTCAAGGGATCAGAAGTCCCAAAGTAGTAAGTGTGGTTTAGGGTTTCATGCAGGCATTTTATGAAAAATTATTTTAATCAAGATAACTTGAAACATAATTGAAAGAGCTCTTTAGACAATAATAGCATTTTTTTCTATAACTAAATTCAATTTGGTACCTCTTAATTAGACAGAATAGATTACAAGTAGTGAAGTTTTATTTCAGCATTTGTTATAAGGTATATTTTTATCCTCTTTTGATGGAATTTAAGGAATAACCAAATATTATAGTTTTTTTTTTTTTTTGAAGTTTTGTTTTATCTTGTCCTGGTGATTTTTTTTGTTTGTTTTTTGAGATAGAGTCTCACTCTGTTGCCCAGGCTGGAGTGCAGTGGTGCCATCTTGAATCTTGGCTCACTACAACCTCTGCCTCCCAGGTTCAAGGGATTCTCCTGACTCAGCCTCCCTAGTAGCTGGGACTACAGGTGCACACCACCATGCCCAGCTAATTTTTGTATTTTTAGTAGAGACGAGGTTTCACCTTATTGGCCAGGATGGTCTCGATCTCTTGACCTCATATCTGCTGGCCTCAGCCTCCCAAAGTTCTGAGATTACAGGTGTGAGCCACCAGGCCTGTCCATCCTGGTGGTATTTTATAAATCACAACCCATTACCCAAAGAAGAACATGACTATGTCAAAACTTGTTAAGCACCAAAGTACCTTCTCTGTGTATCTGTATTTTGTTTTATTCTACCTCTGTGCAATACCAAAATTACTGAACATGCATTAAGGAGAGTCTAATTGATGATAGTCCAGATCTTCTGTACTAGTTTTTTTCTAAGTTCAAAATTTAATTCTACTAGAAATGATATAGAGATGCTCACAAATTTTAAAAGATAGTTACAAAAACATAAACTACTGAGTACCATTACTCTGATTAGTCATGTAGCAATATAAATCTATATATTTGGTTTAAATAATTCTTTAATATTTAAACTTATTTTTAAAAACATGACACAAGCAAGTAGGTATTTGGATGGACAGAGTCAAGAATGTGGTTGATTTAATTAATTTGAATGCCTATATCTCATTTGCTTTATTTAGGAGTTGAACATATTACAGTGGAAACCTCTCATTTTCATACTTATGTCTTATTCACTCATAACATTGATAGATACAGAAATAGATGAAAGAGTTATAAGATCACTATAGTTAGGAATGAGGGCTCTGGAGCCCAATAGGTTGGGGCTGATTTTTCACTCTCCCTTTTGGTAGTCATGTGACCTTGAGCATATACTGTGCTTCAGTCTCTGTGACTCAGTTTATCCAGCTATGAAATGGAAATTATAGATAGGCTTGCCATGAGGATTAAGTTAATACATGTAAAGCACTTTAAGCCGTGCCTATCACAAAGTATTTAATAAATATTTGCTATCATTCTTATCAATTACTAATAGATTGAATATTAAATGTAATGTTTCTAACTACTCTGTATGAACTTAATTTCAGTTTATAAGGCCAAGAAGTAAGCATGATAATATGTTTCTTGAGGCCAGAAGTCAAAGATGAAATGTCATTTGAATAATGAAAGAAACACATGTATCTGGTTATTTCATATCTCTCTTTTTTTTTAAATGTGTTAAGATTCCTCGTAGCACATCATATAAAGTAGAATTTAAATATTAAGGTTGAAATAATATTTCTTTCAGTGCATTCATTGCAATATTCTGTCTTTAAAATGAATTAAGAATTCAGTTTTAAAAAGATATTTTTAATGAAGATAGATACGTTAGGCAGACTTTTTCTATTGGTTGCAAAGATAACAAAAGGGGTAAGATTAAGCAAAGCTTGTTCAAAAATAAAAAAGGAAGATGATTAACTTTATTCTGAAAGTTCAGAAACCATTTTTTATGATTAGACTTTAGAGGTCATATATCACAGTTCTGCAAACTTGTTTGCAAAGTACTGGTATGTCCTTAGAATTCACAAAACTTGATTAAAGGCATATTTCTGGTTGGACCACTTATGCCTATGTTAGCTAGTTCTCTTGATTTCACCTGCCAGCAAAATGAAGTGAAACATGGAATCATTACTTCATGTATAACAAATGCAATCCCAGGGAAGGAACTCTGAAAAAGATAGGATTTCCTTGACTGAAGACTGTGCCAGCACTCCTTAACAAGCTATTCACCATGCAAATGAACAATGGAGTCCCACACTGAAACAGCTGTTAACTACATAAAACTGTTAAGGAGATTTAACAGTGCCAGAGGCTGAAATGTAATCAGGCAGGTGAAATAGTGGTAAGATAAATATTCCTGTGTGAAATAGAAATAGTGTTTAATTAATTTATTTTTATATTGCTGCAGCACCTGAGTTTAGAATTATTGTGAAATATACTAAGCTTTAAAACATATTTTCTTTCTCTGTGGAAGGTATAGAAAGTTAGAAACTCGGCCGGGAGTGTTGGCTCTCTCCTGTAATCTCAGCATTTTGGGAGGCCAAGAAGGGCAGATCACAAGGTCAGGAGTTTGAGACCAGGCTCACCAACATGGTGAAAACCCCATTTCTCCTAAAAATACAAAAGTTAGCTGGGCGTGGTGTCATGTGCCTATAATCCCAGCTACTCAGGAGGCTGAGGCAAGAGAATCTCTTGAACTCAGGAGGTGGAGGTTGCAGTGAGCTGAGATGGCATCATTTGCACTCCTGCCTGGTTGACAGAGCAAGAATCTGTCTCAAAAAAGAAAAGAAAGAAAGAAAGAAAAAGAAAAGGACAGAAAAGAAAGTTAATGACGAACAAAATGGGCTACTTTATCTGGATATTTTTTGATTTTTTGATATTTCAGTAGACTTGATTATATTGTAATTTTCAGTTATGGCAATTAAAGGTCAGCTGCCCAATTACTGTTTCTAAAGTTTGTCATCATACAGTGTGAAAGTAGTGTACAGATAGAGAAATGTTCAAAGTGCAGCTAACATTGAGATGTTTCTACTTTTGTTCTTGGAAAGAAATGAGAAGAAAGATGTTGTATGGAAAATGAATACAGATATTTCATAATATTCTGGTTTGCACATGAAACTAAGCTAAAGTGTGTTATGGGCCATTCATAAAAACATTCCTATTAATTGATGGAATGAATCGTGATTGCTCTTTTTAGGGGTATGTGTGTATGTGTGTGTTTATGTCTTTGTGGATATATGTGGGTTTTAATAATTCCAGAAGTATACCTTCACTTCACCTGCAGGAGCTTATAATTGTTACATTTTATACATTGATTTTTAAATCCAGGTGTGGTATAAGCTACACTGTCTGTAAAATATTCTCTCAAGGCATAGTGCTAGTCAGAGGCATAATCTGTAATGTTTTTAAGAAATAAAAGCCATTTGAGATTTAGAATTATAATTTGGAAGATTCTGTTGTGCACATATTTTTTTTTTTTTTACTTTCCCCGCATGCTTTAGCCACATGCAACAAACTAATGTTTGTAACATAGCCTGTTGTCCCTGTGGTCACTAATACCTGTTAACAAAAAAAAATCATATTAACAGATTATGTTTGTATTGACATCTCTATTTTTAATATATTTTTTAAAATTACACTGATGGTTTTTAAACCAAGTATGTTAGCATATTTTTAAGCTAGTCAAAAATATTAGCATTAACCTTAAAAACGTTGAGTATCACTCAGTGTGATTTGTTATTTTTTGGAAGTCAACTGATTGTATTAATGTGTCTTAAATTGGTAGAGAAGAAATTTGCAAACAGGTATAATCTAATATTCTGAATATTAAATAGACACACACTCAAATATATTTTAATGCAAACTTTTTTAATGTTGTAGAATTAAATATTTTTAGGGTAAGACTCAAAGATCTTAAGATACAGCTTTATGTTTAAGATATCTGTTTTCTGAGAAGTAAAGGATTATGAAAGTGAGACACTATACAAGGAAAATCTTTAAGCAGGAAAATTAATTTTTCTTTATCATTTCATGATCACTCCTAATAATTTCTAAAAAATTAACTTAGTATCTTTTATACAAAATATTCCTCAAATATACAAATTACCAGAGTTGTGCTAGAAATTGTGAGAAAATGACTTAATAATATAAAGTGATATTTATATTTTAGAATCATACAATAAATTATATTCACTCACATACCCACATGATTATGAGGAAGAAAAACCACAACAAACTTTATTTTATTGGGTAAATGAGGATTAAAATACAAAATAGCAAAGAGTATTGACAGAAACTGTGCTTCATGTAACAAATAAAATTGAAAATTTCTTCAGCTTAGGCAAAAATAAACTTGGAATATTCTTGTCTGATGCCAGATAACCTGTGTGATGGATGCTTTCTTAAAAGTATGAGAGGCAGGTGGAAAACTAAAACTTTAATTAGAGTATTATCAAGAAGAGGCAGCTACTGAAAATGAAAATAAATTTTGTGTAATGTTATTTGTTTAAATATTACAAAGTCATGAAGAAGTTTAACACAAACGATCTCTACTTTTACCAGCTATAGAAAAATCTGAGACTGTCAAACAAAAGCAGGAAAATAAATCTCATAATAAAGTCTTTATATAAGACTTTATTTTCATTTATACTCAGTTTGAAAGAGAGAATCTCCATAGTTTGGTTTCTCCTTTGAATAGATCTTTGACTTACTCTAGAACTAGCATGCAAAGTTAATTTTTTCTTTTTTGAAATTTCTTGGTTTCTTTGGCTCTTGCAGAGTGAAATTTCACTTTTTAATCTTTCAGCTGAATAAGCCATATAACCAATTTTTTTTTTAAGTTACTGAATTTTAAGCAATCATTTGTCCTTTTCCTTTATCTTTCAGGAAGTTGATGGCAATAAAGTTATGTCTTCATTTGCCCCACACAACTCATCTACCTCACCTCAGAAGGCAGAAGAAGGTGGGCGACAGAGTGGCGAGTCCTTGTCTAGTACAGCCCTGGGAACTCCTGAACGGCGCAAAGGCAGTTTAGCTGATGTTGTTGACACCTTGAAGCAGAGGAAAATGGAAGAGCTCATCAAAAACGAGCCGGAAGGTAAAAGCTGGAAAAGAAAACAAAGTTGGTGCTGTGTCCTGATTTTCGTACTTTGATTTTAACTTCTTGATTGGTTTTTCATTTACATTTTTAAAGTTAGGTTGGGCAAAATGGAAACCTACTGCTATGAAGATAGATAGTATAATTTTTCAGAAACATTTAAGCCTGTCTAACCCAATTTTTTAAATCATTTATTTATGTTGTGATGTTATTTTCACATATGAGTGAAGTAGTTGAATGAAAAAGGTTCAGGAATCCAGTGTGGCAACGGAGCCGGGAATAGTCACCTACTTGCCAAATATCTGCAGTCTAGTTTGTTTCTCTTTATTTTTTTTCCCTTGAGAATCAATGTAGAATTGCCCTACATTTAACCTTTGCACGTTAATACATCTTATCCTACCTTGATATTTAGGTCCGTTTCTTGTATAGTACCAAATTATTATCGGTAGGATTATTATATATTTACAAATTAGTGATTCTTTAACTTTTAGGTATGTTTTAACTTCCTATTTTTTTAACTTCCAGAAAGTCTTTCTTTTAAGATTTCATTCTGTAAATCTCTTTAATAGTTACTGATAGGAGCCTTCAGGTGATATGCACATGGACTAATCTTAAAGCAAATAAACCAACAAAATAACTGAGGCAAATTGTACAAACTTAGGCATAATTGACAATCATCCTTTAGGTTACACATGCTTACTAACTGCTATTTAACCCTCTGTCCATCCTAAGCATGGGTGCCGTATTGCACACAAGAACATACCTCCTGTTTCAATCAGATGGAAATTTCAAACAAGCAAACAATGTTGTGCACACATATTGTATAGCAAAAATACACTGCATGTGTACTGTGTAACAATAAGTTGGGCTCATTTCTAGTCTGCTCGGACACTGGTAAATTATGAGGATATCTGATGCAAAATGTATGTTAACCTATATATTTGACAGTCATGTGACAATTAAATATTTCTAGTCCCTACCAAATGCATAGCTGGGACCTGGATTTTGGTTAAAATTTATGCAATTCTCGTGATCTGAGAATTGGAAAGGATTTTAGAGATATTCTTGTCACGGAAAGACTTTGGATATTTTGTTACATGTTCCCCCATTCTCATGGAGATAAAAATAGAGAGTTGAGGGGAATCCAGACAACCTTATTTTTTTTTAAATGGATTTTTTTCTAATATTAAAAATAATACAGTTTTATAATAATTATTTTTAAAACAGAAAACATTATAAGGAAGGAAATAAAAATCATCTGAAGTTATAGCTATTCCTGTGTGAAATAGCAATAATGCTAAATTAATTTATTTTTATACTGCTTCAGAAACTGAGTTTAGAATACTTATGAAATATGCTAAACTTTAAAAAATAGTTTCTTCTTCTTTGAAAGAGTTAGAAAGTTAGAGATGGGAAAATAGGATATCTTATCTGAATTTTTTTGATATTTTTGATCTTATAGACTTGATTGCATTGTAATTTTTTGCATGAAGTCCAAGCTGCAGGTGATTTTTATTTTCTTCGTTATAATGTTAATATGAGGTTAACAGGATTCTTAACCTTAGGATGTGTTTTTTAATCTTTATTTTTATATATTCTGCTAATTTTTTATGATTAGCTTTATGCAAACGGTTCCCAACTTACAATGGATCCACTAGGATTTTCAGCTTTAAGATGGTGCAAAAGCAATACACTTTCAGTAAAACCATACTTCAAATTCTGAATTTTAATATTTTCCTGTATGCAGTAGGATACTCTCATTGCTGGGTAGTGGCAGGGAGCCATAGCTCCCAATCAGCCACATGATCAAGAGGGTAAACAACTATACTCTACAGTATATTGTGTTGCCAGATGATTTTGCCCCATGGTGGGCTAACAACCTGTGTTCTGAGCACATTTAAGGGAGGCAAGGCTAAGTTATGATGTTCAGTAGGTTAGCTGAATTAAATGTATTTTTGACCTAATGATATTTTCAACTTACAGTAGGTTTAAGGATATAACACTATCATAAATCTAGGAGCATCTATACTTTTAAAATATTGTGCTTCTTTTTTCACTTAGAATTGTAGTATGAGTGTGTCTTCTGCCGAGTAATATACTTTGCAAAGAAATGACTGCCAAGGCTGACACAGTGGCTCAAGCCTGTTTTCCCAGCACTTTGGGAGGCCAAAATGGGTGAATCACCTGAAGTCAGGAGTTCAATACCAGCCTGGCCAACATGTTGAAAACCCATCTCTACTAAAAACACAAAAATTACCCAGGTGTGGCAGTACATGCCTGTGGTCTAAGCTACTCTGGAAGTCAAGGCAGGACAATTGCTCGAACCTGAGAGGAGGTTGCAGTGAGCCACGACTGGGCCACTATACTCCAGCCTGGGCAACAGAGCAAGACTCTGTCTCAAAAAATCCTTAAATAAATTTAAAAAAATGATTGCCAAATATTCTAAAGTTTGGCCATGATTTACTATTGTAATTCATACATTCACTTTATTCAAAATAAAAACAGTTTTAGATTTATGGAAAAATTAAGCAGATAGAACAAGAGTTCCCATGTATTCCATTCATATACACAGTCTCCTCTCTTATTAACACCTTACATTAGTATGGTATACTTGTTAAAATAATGAACCAACATTGATACATTATTATTAACTAAAGTCCAGAGTTTATTTAAACATCATTAGCTTTTACCAAGTGTGCTTTTTCTGTTTTAAGATACCATCAAGGGTAACACATTATACTTACTTGTCATGTCTTCTTAGGCTCCTTTTGACTGTGACAGCTTCTCAGAATGTCTTGTTTTTGATGACCTTCAGAGTTTTGAGGAGTACTCTTCAGATATATTACAGGATGTCTCTCTATTGGAATTTGCCTGATATTTGTCTCAGTCAAATGAGTTTTGGAGTTTTCTGAGGAAGACCACAGAAGTAAAATATCATCTTTGTCACCTCATAACAGTTACATACTTTCTTTGTAATTAAGAATGTTGGCATTGACCTTGATCATTGGCTGAAGTAGTGTTTTGCAAGTTTCTCCACAGTAAACGTGTTCTCTGTCCCTTTTCGACACCATAACCTTTGGAGGGGAGGAGCTCTGTGCAAGCCACACTTAAGGAATAGGGAGTTATGTTACTAGAGCTGGAGTATCTACAGAATTTATTTGGAATTTTCACATGGGAGATTTATCTTTTCTCTACTATTTATTATATCATTTAATCATTTTTTTTACATCAGTATGGACTCACAAATATTTATTTTTTATTTTGGGCGTCATTTTACATACCACTATTATTGTGGTTGTGATAATGATGATTATTATTATTAGTTTAGCACTTCTCTTCTTTCTGGCACTGTAAGATACTGAGGGCTCATTTTGTACATTTCTTGCTGCAGTGCTAGAATCATCCATACCTCCAAGAAGCTCTGGCTCCTTTTATTGGGGAATGATATTAGAACGCAAGATCTAAATGCTAGATATACTCCTTACTTCAGAGGTATCATTTCTTTTAGGGTTCTAAGTTGACAGAGCAATGAAAATATATGTATGTATACTAACCTGCATATGTATATATTTATAAATATTTCTATGTTTATATTTCAACCCAACTGGGGAAATACCTAGGAATGTGAGTGCTGGAATTTATGAGAGAATTATATTTTAGCCTTGCAAGAAACTGCCATACTATCTTCCAAAGTGGCTATAAGATTTTGTATTCCCACCGGGAATGAATGTGAGTTTCTTTTGTTCCACATTCTCATCAGAATTTGATATTGTCGGTTTATTTTATTTTATTCATTCAAATAGATGTGAAGTAGTATCTCATTCAATTAATTTGTAGTCCTCTAATTTTAAGCAATGTTCAGCATATTTTTGTATGTTTCTATCCCTTTGATGAGGTGTCTGTTTAGATCTTTTGCTGATTTATTAACTGAATCATTTTCTTATCAATGAGTTTCTAGAGTCCTTAGTATATTTTGAATACAAGCCCTGTCAGAAATATGTTTTGCAAATATTTTCTGCCAGCCTGCGGTTTGTGTTTGCATTGTCTTAACATGGTCTTTTGAGGAATAAACATTTTAATTTTAATGAAATTGAATTAACTTTTTGCATGGATTATGCTTTTGATGTCTGTAAGCAATCATCACATAATCCAGGGTCACTTAGATTTTCTCCTATCTTCTTGAAGTTGTATAGTTTTTCATTTTACAGTTTAGGTCTATGATCCCTTTTGATTTAAATTTTGTAAAATGTAGTTCTGTGTCTGCATTCATTCATTTTTTGTTTGCATATAGAAGTCCAATTGTTCTAAGACCATTTGTTAAAAAGGCCATTATTTCTCCATTAACTTACCTTTTTCCTTGCCAAAGATCAATTGAATGTATTTGTGTGGATCTATTTCTGCTTTCTGTATTTTGTTCCATTGATCAGTTGGTATGTTTTCTTGCCAGTAACATGCTGTCTTGATTACTGTATCTTGATAATAAGTCTCGAAGTTGGGTAGTGTTAGCCCTCCAACTTTCTTCTTTTTCTTCAATATTGTGTTGGTGTCCTGGGTCTGTTGCCTTTTCTTGTAAACAGAATCAATTTGTTGACATCCGCAAAATAACTTACTTGGATTGTATTAGGATTGTGTTATACTTGTAGATAATGTTGGGAAGAATTTACTCATTTAAAATACCAAGTTTTCATATTCATTAACACAAATATCTCTCTATTTATGAAGATCTTTATTGATTCCTGTTGAGTTTCATGGTTTTCCAAGTACAGATCTTAAACATATTTTGTTACATTTATACTACTATTTTTTTGGTGTACAAACTTAAATGTAAATATAAATTGTATCTTTTTAGTTTTTTAATCTTTTCAATATTTTTATTTTTATTTTTTATCATACTTTAAGTTCTGGGGTACGGGTGCATAATGTGCAGGTTTGTTACAAAGGTATACATATGCCATGATAGTTTGCTGCACCCATCAACCCGTCATCTACGTTAGGTACTT